AATTCATATTGCAAAATGCAACTTATAAACAAAAACTTGATGTAATTAATATTTCATTATATACTATACAACACAGAAACAAAATAACATAAATATCATAAAAATAGTTTTTGGTAAATGGCACAAATATAGATTATAGTACAACCAATGAGCACAAATCATGTATGTCCCTAGACTGGAACCAATCAGAAGATTACATTGATTAAAATAGATAATATTTAAATATTCAAATAACTTTAAAACAAATTATATATTTATAATTATTTATTGTTTAAAAGATTTAAAATATAAAAAAGTATACATTTATTTAACATAAAATTAAAATATAAAAAATTAAATATTAGTTTCCGGAGATACTTAACCTATAAAAAATTTATTTTATTAATTATATTATAATATTTAATTTATAACATACTTTATATTACTAAAGCTTATGAAATTTATTAATTGTTATTTTATGTATTATTAATTTATAATTAAAAAAAAATTATTATTGACATTATCTTACATTATCTAGTAGATAAAAATCTTTTTAGATGAAAGATATTATCGATCGTTTCAGATGCTAAAGACGAGTATAACATAAAATGCAAATACCAAAAGCTTTAAAAAAATAAACATTTCATATATGAAAATTGTGTATATAATAATAAACTTAATTTTCAAATTTTTTTAAAAATGGGAGTAGGTAAAAGTCAGTTTTCTGAAGATGAACTGCAAGATTATCAGGTATTACTATTTAATAATTGAATAATTCATAAATTTTATTTATATTTTATATTTTAGGATTTGACATATTTTACGAAAAAAGAAGTTTTGCAGTAAGTATATTTACATCATTTATATAATATATTTATAATATATTTAATAATATCTTAATAATATCTTAATAATTGCATCAATAAATTAAAAATATAATAAACTATTTAAAGATGTACTTAAATTTCAAAATAAAAAAAAATTTATTTATTTAAGTTGTAATATTAATAATATTAATAAGATTTTATTGTAGTAATATTAGTTTTTTTTATAAAATTATTATTTTGTATTAAAAATCAAGAACAATTTTTATATACTTTTATATATTATTTTTATATTTTTATATTTCAATTAAATTATTTATAAAAAATTACTAATTGATGTTTAAAATTTTTTATTATATATGATAGTGCACATCAAAAATTTAAAGCACTTGCTCCAGAAAAAGTTGGTCATAATAGAAATGCAAAACTTCCAATGTCTAAAATCTTACAATATCCTGAATTAAGAGTAAATCCCTTTGGAGATAGGATTTGTAAAGTTTTTAGTTCAAGCCAAGATGGAGATTGTACCTTTGAAGACTTTTTAGACATGATGTCTGTTTTTAGTAATGCAGCTCCAAAAGCTGTCAAAGCAGAACATGCATTTAGAATATTTGGTAATATTTATATCTCATTTTTCTTTTATATCTATATAATATAAAATTAAATTATAATATAAAATTTTATTTTTATATATTAATTAAGTTATAACAAATTATATGTAGATTTTGATGGAGATGATATGCTTGGTATTGGAGATTTAAGACAAGTAGTAGATAGACTTACTGCTCCACAAAGATTAAATGAAACAGATATGCAACAAGTTCTTCAATATATACTTGATGAAGCAGATTTAGATGATGATGGTGCACTTAGCTTTGCAGAATTTGAACATATTATAGAAAAAAGTAGTGATTTTTCAAAGTAAATATAATCATTTATGATATGAATTTATTAAATTACATATTGAATATGATATTTAATATTCATATTTGTTTTCAGGAGTTTCTGCATACGTTTATGAAATATAGAATATTAGTAAAAAATAGTAAAAGAACAACATAAGACTGAACATTATATTATTATTGAAGTATTTCAATATACTCAATAAGCCTAATAATATTTAGTGTAAAAAAAAAAAAACATAATTTTATGAATTTAAAGTGTGCCAATATTTTCTGAGGGCCTATTATATTAAAAATAACTTTCGTGTTTTCTAAAAGAATATAGTTATAGAATTTTTTTAAACTAAACTGCCATATAATATTTGTCATTATATACTATATTAAAAATAACTTTTTTGTTTTCTAAAAGAATATAGTTAATATAGAATTTTTTTAAATTAAACTGCCATATATGATTAGTAATATAATATAATACAATATAATAATATATATACAATATAATAATTTATTAAAATGTTTATTTATTTTAAATTAAATTTTTTTGTTTTAATATTTTGATTTGTTTTAATATTTGCAGATTCATGTTATATAGATTAAAATATTTACACATGCATAAAATTATTATATCGAATTGTATAAATATTTATAATATTATAATTTAATTAATTTATATAATTATATGTTATATAATATAGAATGTTTTTTTTTGTTATAATATAAAATATTAGGATTAATATCCTATTATTTAATTGATGTTTATTTATTTTATTATACACATTATTATACACATACCAATTTTTAAAAAATATATTATTAAAAAAATATTTAAAAAATATATAAAAAATATAATATTAATTTATATAGAAAGTAAAAGTAATATTTATTTATTGATTTTTTATTAATTTATATTAAAAATATATATTAATAAATTAGGTCAATCGTTAGTTATATGGAAGTATAATATGAAATTAATTATAGAATATATATTTATAATAACTGAGCAAATAATAGTTTGAAAAAAATTATGGTCTATGCAAAAAATTAAGATATTATACTAACAGAATTAAAAAAGTTTTTTTACTTATTTGTAATTTTATATTAAAATTTAATTTTAATTCAAAATTTTAATTAATAAAATAAATTATTGTTAAGTATAAATTAACACATTTTAAGAATAAATTGTTAAGTATAAATTAACACATTTCTTTTCTTTCGAAAATATCGATTTTTTTTTCGATATAATCGAATTAATGAAAAATATCGATATCTACCTAAATATCGAATCAATAAAAATCATCTTCATTTCTTTTCTTAAAAAAATATTTTAATCACAAAAAGATTATACCATTCATATATTGAAAATTATAACAATAAATTTATAAAAATAAGAATGACAATTTATTATTTATAAATAAACATTAATTTATTAGAATTTTTATTTTGTAAATAATCGAATATAACAAATACGTTTTATGTAATGTCTTTTATTTTTTATTTATTTTTATTTTATTTTAATAATTATGACTTGTTTGTTGATTGTGAATTCAATAAAATTATAAAATGATTGTTGATGATTTAAATAATATTATAAAAATAGTATATACAAGTATTTTTAAATAAATAAAAAATGCACAAAAGCAATGGAACAATGTTTGAATTGATGCAATTTTTCAAATACTTACATATCAGTAATTATTTATGTATAATACAATTTTATTTTCATTAAAAAAAGAATAAATTAATTTTCAAATTATCTAAAAACAATTGTAATGATATATTATAACATGTTTTCTTAAATATAAAGAAGCTATAGATTTTTGAGGTTAATGATATTTTTTTATTTATATTTTTTATGTTATGCAAATCTAAATTATCATGTTTTTGTAAAATGAATTTACTTTCGATTACATAAAGAATATTTATATTTTTTTGAATAATTTGTATCTGAATTATTCAATTTTTAATATTCATAATTATAAAATATAATTTATAATGTATATTTACTTTTGGATTTGTTTGAAAGATTAAATATTATCATTTTTCGATTTTTTAAATTTCGCTTAAATAACATAATTTATAACATGATTATTAATAATATAGAAATTTTGTTTTAGTAAATATTGTCATAATGAAATTGCTTTTAGTTATCGAATCATAGTACTTACTTATGAAGTAAGTAACGTGTGAGATTAGTAAAATTTTAATCCCCTATGTACAATTATCGTTTTATCATTATTATTATATTAGTCTTTTATTAGCAATACAATTAATATAACAATTAAAAAATTTAATACATATATGAACAAAAAAAATCGTATAAATTAATATATTTAACACTAGCTTAAACGTAAATATTTTATATTTAAAATTTTGAAAAAATGCTTCTTTTATTTATTACATGATTTTAGTTTGCATTTATTATTTTGAAACATATTAAGAACATTTATATCTTTAACAATAAAATATAAATGAATATGAAATTTATTCTAATAAATTTTATTAATAAATAACAAAATAAAATTATAATTAGATCGTAACAATTAAAAAATAAAATATCAATATTTTCTAAATATCTGTATTTATAAAAAAAAAAATGTATTTACAAAAAAAAATCTTTTGATTATCATATGTTTCCAAAATCATATGACTTTTATAAAAATTATTACTTTTTATAATTTTGAAAAAAAAATATATTGTTGATTATTAAAATAAATAATACATTCTATATAATAGTTATCATTTAGTATTAATAAATATAATTTGTTAAAGATAATGTAAAAATCATATATTTACATTTCTAATTACATATGGATAATGGAAGGAAAAATAACTATATTTATTTATCTCAATAAGAGATAATAAAAATTACATAATGCAAAATAAATAATAAGTTATTCCATAATTTTTTAAAATATTGAGCAAGAAGAGCATATAGAAAAAGACAATAAAAATAATGCAAATCTAAGAATTTTTACTGAGATTAAAATATTTTGTAGATTCTCAGTATTGACTTCAATATCGAAGGTATATCTTTGTGAAATAATATTTATAAATATAAAGTTTATCAGAGAAACATTAAATTCCAAACTAATCATCTACATATTTTAATAAAATTATAAATAATATTTTTATTTGTATGTGAAATTTTAGCGATGTATATCTTTGGAATAAAGTTTTCTTAAACTCTAATTGGTGTATTGCACTTAATCATTTTTTGAATGAAAAACCGGAAAAATAATGAACGAGCCCATAAGTATGAAATTATATATAGACTTGAAATAACAAAAACAATTAATTAATTATTTTTGTTAGCATTAAGTGTAACGTCCAAAGGTTCATCGATATTTTGCGAAGGACTGAGTTCTTGCTGGGGTAATTGATGAAATAAAGTGGCAATCGATGTGTGTCGAGGTGGACCTTTCACAGTGAGATCCATTTCAGCCTCCTGCGGCCTATCTCTAACACTTAAATTAATATCTCTTTCTATTGGACTACCGCATATTCTTGGTGGAGAACCACAACCACATTTCATTCTCTCCGGAGATTTTTCACATGTCAAAGAATATCTGAAACATAATAGTTATTTTTTTATATATAAGAACACAAATTCAAATAGAAATATAATACAAAAAACTATAACATAGAAGTAAAATATAGAATGTCATAAAAGAAACAATTTTTTTATTTTGATATTTTTTTTTCAAAAAAATATCAATTATTTTATATCAATGTTATTTATATTAATTATTAATTAATAAAATTTAAATTTATTATATATATAATATCGATAAAATGGTACTGTTATAAAAATCAAAATCAATTGTTTATTTTAATTCTTTTACGTTGATGTATTTTTAGATATTCAAAATTAAAATAAAAAAAAAAAGAAAACTGACTGAGATGATATATCATTAATTTTTAATATATTGTCACTTTTTAATAATAATTCATTGTTAAACATTTAAATATTTGTTAACATTTGTTAACATTTAAATACATGTATACGAATAAAAATTTTTTTTTAATAAATTTTTCAATAATATTAATGCGTACATTAATATTAGTTACATATAATGTTCATTCGTTCATATTTTAAGATGTATTGTTAACTATCTAATAATTTATAAATGTCGATAAATGATATGATATGATATAATATAATATATCAATAATATGATAAATAATAAAAATAATATATATGTATATATATAATAAAAATAATATATATGTATATATATATATATATATAATATATATATAAAATGTCGATATATTTAAAGGATGAAAAAAAATTTTGTTACCCGTGAGGAGGTGGAAGAATTCTATAATCTCTGCAAACAGATAAAGTTGAAGTGTCGGATATTTTGTCAGCATTGGTTGCCGTCAAAGATGGTCCATTGGTAGCAGAAGCAGAAAGTGGTGGAGGTGGCGGGGGTGGTGGTGGTGGTGGTGGTGGTGTCGCAGCATCAGGTCGTTCCAAAGAGGTTGTGGGTGGCGGCCTCAAAAGAAGAGGTGCTGCACTTCCTAATCCCAAACATCGCATTCTCCATGCATCTTGTAACAATTGCAATCGGGCTTGTTTTCGCCACTTTGCTCGCCGATTCTGAAACCAAACCTAAAACAACAAATAATTTTTTTTATCTTTATCACGATAAAATATATACATTTAAAAATATTATTAATTAATTTACATATGTAAATTTATATAAATTAATTAATAAATATTTACAAAATGTAAATATTATATATTATAATAATGATATTATGCATAATATAAATATAAATACTTGTCAAACTTTTTTAAAATAAAAGTAAACATTTATAAATTAAATGAACATTTACAATGATAGACAACATAGATTATTCCAAATAGGAACTAAGATTAAAAAGAAAAGAAATATAAAAAAAAAAAAAAGAAAAGAAATATAAAAAAGATTAACTTCTTAACAAATTATTCTATTAATTTGATATCAAAGAAAAAATAGAATGTATGTAATTTGATATTAAAGAAAAAATAGAACAAAAAAATATTTATTTTTTTAACCTGAACACGAGCCTCTGAGAGCGAAATTCTAAGAGCGACTTCTTCTCTTAAGAAAACATCTGGATAATGGGTCTTCTGGAAAAGTGATTCCAATTCTTGGAGCTGTTGTGGAGTGAAGGTCGTCCGATTGCGTCTCTATTCAGATATGATTAAGAATAATTAATAATCATACGTAAATATTATTATATTTTATGTTTTTTAATTTATAATAATTTTGATGAAAAATGAAATATGCAATAATATTACTATCTACATCATATAAAAGTTAAGGAACTGAATTAAATATTTAAACCATAACTACACTATTTATTTTTTTTTTATTTTTATTAATTTTATGTTTTTGTTTCATTTTTTTTTTTTTTTTTGATTCTTTACTTTCAGAGCTGAAAAAAATATTTAAAGAAATACTTAACGATATAATTTTTATCATTGCATTAGAAATAATATAATATATTATGTTAAAAATAATACGATATAATTGAAATATAATTATCTAATACAAATTAATCGTATTATAATTTTCTAAATATAGTGTAAATATTATGTAATCTTTTTTTTAAATTAATCTTTTAAAAAAGAAATTAACAAAATTATTTAATATAAAAATCTAAAAATTTTTTAATTATTTAATGAATTTATAGTTTTTTAAAAAGTGAAAATTTTAAGTAGTAAATATTTTCTTTTTTAGAAATAAATAAAATTAAATATAAAAATAAATAATTAAATAATATATATTTGAATTTCAATTTATGAGCAAAATTGAAAATATTAGAAAAATATTGCTAACAATCAGTAACTATTTATATAATAATTCATAAAATTTTATAGAATTTGAAATATAACATGAAATATAAAATATAATATAAATATATAAGATAATATAATATAAATATATAAGAAATATATAAGAAATATATAAATATAAGAAAATTCTATGTGCATTTCTAAATCTTTATAGAATATACGTTTGTATTTGAAATTACAAATTGAGCAATATCTAAGATTGTTCAATATTTACAATAATACTAAATCATATTTTACATATACTATATATTGATTAAAATAATATTTTATAAATATGCTTTCTAATTTGTGAATACATGCTTAGTGATTAATGGAAATGATGGATATTTTAAAAATTCAATAAGCAAAGAAAAAAACACATGAAAAATATGTAAAAAACAAATAATTAAAATAATAATGATAAACAGTATATTAGTTAAAATAAGAGACATAAATAATGAATTAATAAAAAATGTCCAATTGACAAAATTTTGTTCATATCAAAGAAATACATCTTATTAAATAATTTTAGAAAATTTTAGAAATACATCTTATTAATAATTAATACAATTAATATGCATTATTTAAATTAATAAAAGAAATAAAATTAGAAGAAATAAATGACGACTGATATTTTTATTAATTCTAAGATTTTTTTAAGAAGTTTTTCTTATAACTTATATATGCAAAATTTTTTATAAATATATATTTGTATAATTTCACGATAGTTACGCATTAAATTTTAATTTGAGTTATTTTCATAATTCATAATATATCGAGAAAAATAAAAGAATAAATAAAAAAATATATTTTAAAAAAACATTTATATCATTTATAAATATCTTTGAATAATTATTAAAAAAATAATTTTTTTTTGCTTTTTATTTCATTTTATAATATAATATTTTTTTTCTAATAAATTATTTATGAAATAATTTTATATATTATTTTATTGCGAATAAATAAAAATATTTTTGTCTACTTCTTTTAAATTCTTTAATAGTAATTATTAATTATTGATTAATTGTTTCTGAAAATAATAAATAATATTTTTTCGTATGTAAAGCTTAAAAAAATCTTACAGAAAATCACAAATTTTATATTACGTAATACTGGAGTGTAGAATATATAAATTGCCGCCAAAACAAACGAACCAAATATGTAAAAAAAATGAATCGTAAAGAAAATGAATTAATGATTATATATAATGAATAATGATAATGATAATGAATATTTAATTAAATATACAATAAAATGAAATATTTGTTTATAAACAGAAACATATTATATAAAAAGTTATTAACAAGATTACAAATTATAAAAATGTACAAGAAAAAAAAGGATTTTGAAAGGAAAGAGAATATTAAATATATCTTGATTATTTTCAATAATATAAGTGTAAATATGTGAAAATATAAGAAAAAAAGTAAACAGAACCAAAAAAGAAACGTACACTGACCTGACGACGTCTTCCAAACATATATTCGGTAAGTAAATCAGCCTGGGGACCCAATGGTGATAAATACGGACCTGCCATCCTGTTGTAATCAGTTGTTCGACAAAACTAATAAGGATGTAGTTCTGCTATTTTTTTTTTTTTTTTTTTTTTAATCTAGAATCTCACTGCAAGAGAGTCGCTTTATCGTTCTCGATAGACGACACCGAGGAAACTGAAGTCTCCTTTCGAGAGTTCACCCTCGATCAAGCTCCGAGTTACGTGCGGAACGGGGGTTGGTTTATATCACGGGATTGGTCCGTCTATTTTAGGGGCGGTACCACTTCCATGGAGATAAGTACACACCCCTCTTGTGGAAAATTCACTAAATCGTACCGCGCAGAATTTTTCCTTCAAAGAAGGACGATACCTGATTTTTGGTTCTTTCAAGATTTTCTTTCACTTTTTGGAATTTATATTCTCAAAACTTTTCTTCGTTTATTTCATTTCGCGTTTCATTCTACTTCTTAACTATTTTTTCAAAATTTAATATCTATTTAACATTTTATTTTAATATTTGATTAAATTTTAACTTCTTGATATTTTTCTTTGATTGATGTTATAATTATAAATTATTGATATGCACAATATAAAACAAAACTAAATAAATAAAAAATAAATCGACAAATATAAAACATATATACGAATAGATTAAAATGAAATTTAATAAATATAACATAAAGCATAATTAATCAATGTATTTAATTGTTATAGATTTATTTAATATCTAAAAATTAAAAGTTGTTACTTAGAGAAGTAAAATCTATTTTATTTTATATAGATTAATAATTTAATGGCAATTCTAGATACAATTCATTTTTTATTTTGTAAAGTAAATAATTAACAAATTAAAAATTTATAATAATTTAATGAAATCATTAATATCAAATATATAACTACTTAACATATCACTTGACTTCATGGTGATTCTTAGAAATATTTAATATATTATAATACATTATAAAAAATAAGAAATGAATAAAATAATGAAAAAGAGAATTTAAAAAATAAACAATATTTTTTTTTTATTTTTTTTTATTATTTTTTTTATTAATATTAAAATATAATAATATTTTAAATAATAAAATATTATTATATTTATTTTCATTTATTGTGTTTCCAATATAATATCAAATATATATTTATTACATGCATATATATTTATTACATGACAATGAAATAAATGTTTTTCAAAATATTAGTGTTTTCTAAAAAAAAAAGAAAATATATGAAACAGAACAAAAAATAAGAAAAAATAAAAAATGGAAGCAAATGAAAATGAGGAAGTAAGAGATGACCATGGAAAACCGGGTGAAAAGAAAAAAGGAATAAGAGAGGAATATAAACAGAAGAAGGAACGTAAGAAAAAGAAGAGATACAGAGGAAGAAGATGCGCAAGTTTAACGATAGGAGCCTAAGCGAAAGCCAGAAAGTGATGCTCGATATTCGTGTAGCGCATCAGACAGGCACATACCCCGAAGCCATGTAATTCATTACTAAAGCAATCTCACCCTGCCCTATCTCTGCCCCTCTCCTGAACCCTATCCCGGCCCTGCACACCCTCTCCTGACTTCGGCGGTGCGCGCGCGTTATAATATAAAAAAAAAAGAAAAAAAAAAAGGAAGAACCAGCCGGATGAGGAAGGAGAAGGGCCCGAATAGAATAGCGCCCCTGACGACAAAACAAAATGAAACACAAAGCCGTGTTTTCATAATTAAAAAGATTGCATGCACTGAGTACAGTTCTCTCTTGCTCTCGCTTTTTCTCTCGTTGGCGTTCTATGCTCGCCTCCTGTACGGAGCCTTTCTGTTCGCTACGCTGTATTTCTCTTTTTCCCTTTCCATCTGATTTTCTCTGTGATTGTCCGCCGAGTCTTTCTTTCTGGACGACGCTCTCTCTTTCTCTCTCTCTTTTTCTATCTCTCTCTTTTTCTCCCCTCACTCTCTCTTACCCCGACTCTTCTCTTTATATTCTCGCCATTTTAATGATCCAAATATACCAGCGAAATGTTTTCATATTAATTTATTAATATATATATATTTAACAATATATATAAAAACATATATATATATACATACATATCTTTGTTAAATGTAAAATATAAATTAAAATTAAATAAATTATATAATTGAATATTTTTCTTATTTCTTACAAGTTATAAATTTATAAATTTATTTATAGAAAAGTGAATAAATATATAATAATCATTGTATTTCATCAATTGTATTTATATATCAATGGAATAACATTAATGTAAATAAATATGGATGGAAGATTGTAAAAAAACTATCAAAATTTCATATATATTTATTATTCTTTTTGATCTATTTTTTTATTTTTTTTTTATCTTTTGTAGTTTCAAGGAATGATATATTTAATGAAAATGTAATGGCATGTATGTTACGCGCATCATTTTCAATACATCTATTTATCATTTATCTATTATTTTTCGCATATACAAACACTTATGGATATACAAACTTATGGATATTAATTCTATTGTAGCTATTATATTAAATAATGCGTTTTTAATTCTTTATATACACTTAATTCCTTGATAATTATAATTAATATTTGATTTTGAAAATAGTTATACATATAAATTATAGACATTATATTTATGTTATATTTAAGCATTATGTACATATATGTACATTAAATATATTATATTATATAAAAAATATATTATATTATATAAAAAATATATTATATTATATTATATTAAATATATTATATATATATATATATATATATTCAATAGCAAGAAAATTAGTAACAGGTTGTCAAGCAAAAGGGGGTCTTCAAGTTCATTTATTGGATAGAATGTTAACGCCCAGAACCGCCCCTATGATACAACCAATTAGCTTTTATTAATGCAGCCTTCTCTCCATAACTATTATGGAGAAATATAATCGTCTATTTATTTCATTTTAATTATATTTTAATATATATATTAACTATATATAAAGAATAAAAATATGATATTAATAAAAATAAAAATATAATAAAAGAATTATGATAAAATTAGGATTATATGTATAATAATAATAAATTTTACTTTAATTATAAATTATATATTTATTAATTTATAAAGTATTTCAAATTTATTTGTATTTATTTATAAAATTTCTTTAAATTCTTTAAATTATTTTTTTCATTATATATTGAAATTTTTTTATCTTATATTTCTTGTTGTGATATTGATTAATTATAATTTTTAATAATATAATTTTTAATAATTTTTTATTTAATAATTAAAATATAAATTTATATTATTACAATTTATCCAATTCACATCTGACGTTGTTGAACGGATCACCTGCAGCTCTTCTCTTCTCCACCCCGTTTTGTCCGATGCCCTTGTCATGACGATTTCCTAAGCCAGACGATTACTCATCATCCCCGACTAGTTGTACAACAGAACGACTACACTGACGAGGTTATTTTAATCAACGAAACCACGTCCTCCCCCTGCCGCTACTACCTCCAACCCCTTACAATAAGGGTGCACATGAAACCATAGTGCTACCAGGGAGATCAACAGGACGGGCCAGACAACCGGATGTTATCATTTCTACAACATTTCCATTGTGTTCCGCATTTCATCCCCCAGAACTTGTTCTTTATTTCTTTCTTGTTTGCTTACTTTTTTTTTTTTTAATTCACTCTCTTTTATTTTTTCTATCACATTTAAATATTGCATTTTAGCGAATATTAACGTATATGCTTCGGAATTTTTTCTAAAATTTTTTTTTAAAATTTTTGAAGATTTTAAAATTTTTTCTATATTGTTTATATTAATTGCTTATCTTGATATATAAATTAGAATAAAATAGTAATAAATAAACAAATATTGGAAAAAATATTGAATATTGTATCAAATTTTTTTCTAAAACTTTACATTTTTTCTTATTGATATAGATATTAATATCTATTCCAGTTTAAAATTTTTATAAATCAAAATAAGTAAAGAATGAATCTTGTAAATTTTATTATTCTTTTGGTTTATTCAATTTTTGTCAGAAAAGTTAAAAAAATTTTTATAAGTTTTTTTTCAGCTATATAAATTTCTGTTCGATTCTCTAAAATTCATCCAGTATATAAATTTCTGTTCGATTCTCTAAAATTCATCCAGTATAAGTGAATTATTTCATAGGATACTTATAAGTATTTTAAATAATTTTGAAATGAACAAACAAATTTTTAAAAAGATACTCAATCTTCAAAAGAAAGGAAGGTATCTTCAAAAGAAAGATAAAGGAAGAAAGTTAGATCAATTATAAAGCTGTAAAGGAACATTTTTCTAAGAAATTTAGTATTTTCATTAATACTTATACACACATAAAATAATTCGAGAGAAATGTTTCGATCCTTTTAATTTAGACATTTTTAATTTCCATATTTCCATCAATTTTCAAAACACTATTTTCTATTCTAAAATTACTACATCTGTGGAACATTTTTTAAAATTGTTTTGCAATTTCAAAGAAAATAGTAATAAAGATTTACGTTTAAGTGAAAATCAATGGAAAACATCAATTTAAAAGAGACTTATTTAGAAAGAATATCGTATTTTTAAAGAATTTGAATCTGGTTCGTCGATCTATTTTGCATTTTATAAATGCAATGTAATTAATCTCATTGTTAAATATTGGGTACCAACAGCAACATCGTTCCTGTTACCAGCAGGTTCGGTACCAGTACCAGTATTAGTGTACCAGCATCAGTACTATCAGTATTATCCCCACTTCTGATACAGACATCGTTGTCGTCGTTGGTGCCGCAGCCGCCACCGCTACTACCATCAGCACCACCCTCTGTAAGAGTAAGAAGGTAGTAGAGGGAGTAACAGCACCAGTACTCTATTCATTTATACATTAACGTAGAGCTCTCTGTAGAAGAGAGCTGCGCAGACTCACAATCAGTAGAAGAGGATAGTAGGTAGTCAGACTCGAGGAGAATCGAATATAATAGAGCTTCGGTCGGCCGTTTTTATGAAATGCATAAATAAACGAAGTCGAGGGACGATTCTTCGTTTTTAC